GCCCCACCCCCCCCCGAAACCCAGAGCCCCCCGCCAGCCGGGAGCCGTCCCGCTGCTCGCAGACCGGCCCCTCCGGACTCAGACCTGACATCTTGGAGAGGTCTCCGCTGCCGGAGACATTATTTTGGGTTAAAACACGTATCGATCCCCCCCTCCCCCACCTCTCCGATCGACCCACCTTCCTACCAAGGCTGGAGGGTTCCCGGCCACCCAGCCCCTGGCTCCTTGATTGGATGTATTTAATAGTGACAATTAACCCCCGCGCCCACTGCTCGCCCTCTTCCCTCCCTTCGCGCGCACAAATTGGACAGCGCTGTGGGTCCCACGCCTCCCTTCCCTTCCCCCAGCTCCCCACTAGTTTGACCAGGCAAGAGAAGTTTTTCGGGGCTACCTCGCTTCCCCCTCCAGCACCTTGGCCCCTGCCTTGGGCTTTATTAATGATTGGTCGTTATTAGTAGCGAGTCAACCCCCCTCCCCCCTTCTGGAAGAAGAATAGTAACAGACCAGAAGTGCCATAATCTAATATAATATATATTATACTGAGGTGCTGCCACTTCGCGGGGTATTCCCTCCCTAGGGCACTGCCCGCTGTTGGCTCGGGCTCCCCTCGGACAGAGGGAGAGGTTCTCAGAGTCACAGTGCCGTTCGGGACTCGGACCAAACAAGATTCCCCTTCGCCGCCGCTTCTCTAACTTGGCCCATTTAAACAGCACCGGCGCTTGCACTCACACACACACAAAGAAAAAAAAAAGCCAGCAGCCGGCAACGCGCGGGGGGTTCGCGACGGACGACAGCCTGGCTCCGCCGCCCCAAGCTTCGCGTTCGCCAGCCCAAAGGGGATGAGGGGGTAGGTTGCAAAACGCCTGGTGCCACCTTGGAAAGGCAACAGGCAGCCCTATGAATGAAGAGTGTGTGTGGAAATCCTCGGCGCACTTACTGTGTTAAAGGCGTGAAGGCAAGGGGGAAATGCACAACGCATAGTCATTTTACTCGAGATCTCTATCTCGAGGCACACACGGTCCAGTTTTGCACTTGTTCTTTTTAGAGACTCGATTGTGAAAATCTATATCCTGTAAAGGGAGGTCAGATCTTTCCTTCCCCGTGAGGCCAGGGGCAGGAGACTTAATATAAACTAACCTTCAACTGTGAGTCATGCTAAGTCACTCCAGGAGTTCTTTCACAACTTTGCAGGCTTGGGGAAAGAGCCACAGAAGATTATGACTGAGGACTAAGTAACTTGCTTGTGTCTTATCTAGGATGGAGCAGATTTTTTGGGGTGTAAAGGGGAGGGAGTGCGCTATAACAAGGAGCCTGGTGATGTGCTATGGTAGAAAGAGCCCATCAAGAGGATAAAAAAACCAGAAATGATCCATTTCCCGCATTCTACATGAAATATACCCAACAAGTCTTCCGAGGTAAGTAACAGAAGGGACAGCTCCTTGACCATTACAGTGTTCCCTGAGTGCTAGGGTAGCCCCAGATGAGGGACTGAAATGCTGCCCAGCTGATTAGCAAAGGACCGACAGCAGGCAATAGTGTTTCTGTTGGTGGTGCACAACCACACATGCCTTGGTGCACATAACAAAATGTATTCCACATATGGATGGAAAAAATAATGGGAACATTGCTCCTTAATAACACATCCTCTAAGATGTCTAACTTCATAGATACACTTATTTTTCAGGGGAGGAGGGAACAAGAGGCAATCCCAGACTAAATCTACTCTCTGTCAATGAGATGTATATTCATTGTTAGGGCAGTCAACCATCAGCAGAGTTAAGGGAGCTAAGTGGAGCAGTTCCTAATTAATAATCATTCTTTGCACTTGTTCTTTAATCTAAGGATCTCAAAGCACAACACAGACTTGGGTTATGTCCATTTAACAAATGGGAAAAACTGAAGCCCAAAGAGGTCAAGGCTCAGACTGTGAACCCCTTACTGGCACAAGGGAGCAATCTACTAGCACAAGTAATCAGTCCCACTGTAACTGCTCACCAGTGTGGTTAAGAAGGGTTCACATTCTGGCTTTATGTGATTTGCTCAACATCTCATGGGGGTATTTCTGCTCCTGTGCTCACAGTGAATAGTACCACGGTCTGTGGGAAATACCCTATAATCAATTGCTACTTCTGTAGAAAAAAAACACTCCACCTCATTAAACATTGCAGAATCTGTCCTATGGTGTCTCAATGGTAGAATCAGGAAGGGAACCCAGAAGTGCTAGGTCCTAGTTGCCTCTTGGAACTCTGTGGCCACAATCCTTGTTTATCCTGCAGTCAGTTCCCAAAGACGCAAACTCTGGAACAATTTTCACTTTTAGTTCTAATGAGGAATGCAGATTTACAGACCCCTCAACCTTCTCACCTAGGCTTTTATTGTCCTACCTCACTTCTTGGCTCTTACTTTCTCCAGGTGCGCCAAATAAATCTCTACTGCTAGTGTCACCAAAAAAGTTAGGGACTGTCAGCTTGGAAGAAGCACTAGGAAAAACTGGTGTTTTCTATGAAACAACAGAAGAGCAGTTCAGAGTAGCAGTATGGTGGTGGGGGAGGGGGCGAGGGACAACCACATATTTTTTAGTACACACACTGTGGTGGAGCCCTCCAACAGGAAACTTACTCTTGCTCCCCTACAGTATATTCATGCCATGTAGACTCGGCCAATCTGGAATTGCAATTAGCACACGGCAATGCACTGAAACCACGTCTCCAAGAGTCCTCCAGGAGGAGTCACAGGAGACCAGTGGACACAGCTACCACCTCTTTGCAGCTCCCAGGCCCTGCTGACCTGCCCTGAATTCCCTGCATAACGGCACCATGTGTTGCCTTCCATCCACACAGCCGTGAGCAAACAGCTGTGATGAAGCCCTTCTTAGCTCTGAGACTTTTTATTTACCTTCAGAAAAAGACTGGCTTGCCTAGGGGGTTTCCCTGGTACTTATTAGCACCATGGCTTTTCATCTCTGGAGAACTGAATTCAAATGCGGGATTAGTCACTAGTGAAATGAATGTGTCAATCTCAGTTCTAGCCCCTATATGAAAAGACATCTATGGGCAGGTGGAAGAGCAGGCCATGAGTGAAGAACCTACATTGTTGCAGGCCATGAGTGAAGAACTTTGGTTGTGTTGTGTAGAGGCTCAGCAGGGCTTTGAGCTCCCACGCAGCCCTGAGGTGAACTGGCAGAACTGAGGGGAAATATGTTCTCCAAATCCCCCCACGATACTTTAGTCTGTCTTATCAATTTATCACTGTCACAAGCACCATAATTTACTATTGACTCCTCCAGGTCTCCTCCCCAGCTCAACTAAAGCACAAAGAACATCTGCTGGAGTCCAAGTGCCCAAATGGCTGAGTTCAACACCGAGAAGCCTGTCACCATTCGCCTCTGCCCTATGGAAAGAATTCTCAGGGCTTAATGTAAAGAGATTCACTAGATCAGAAAGATATTGACAGATTCACACAGACCTAGAGCAACACAGAGACGCATGGACAAAGAAGGTGCAACATGGATATACTAAAACTAAGGAGCTGGAAAATATCTGGAAGACTTGGAGTTAGATTCATCTCTGCTGGGGTGGGGATTCATTCTGTAACCCACAGGCTTTTGTGGAGGTGCAGGAAGGGGTTCGTTCTTGGAGGAGGGCAGGTAGTGTTTGAGGTCAGCTTTAAATGTACTGTGAGAGCTCCATAAGGACCTTACTGGCTGAGGCTTTGTGAGGATATACTGCATCCAGGAATCCTCTGGGTGCACCTTTCTGGGTAGTGCTGCAGTGGAGCAGAAGTTGTGGGTGCCTTGCCTTCCTGCAATCCCTACTCAGGAGGCTCTTGGGGGCATGGACTGTCTTTTTGTTCCATGTTTGTACGGCCCCTTGCACTGCAGCATCTTTGTCTATGACCACAATACAAATAATACTATATTTTCTATTGCCAGGATCCCTGCTTCCTGGAATGTATTGCTTAGGGCTGAATCAAGCCCAGGATTTTTTATTTCTCTCTCAGTTCAAAAGTGCCAGACAAATGCAATGTATTAGCTGTATCATAGACCAAATTATGAGAAAAGAGGGTCTTGTGCCTAAAGCACAGAACTGGAGGCAAAGAGATCACTGACCGTCATTGTCTTCCAGCATGATCTTGGGTAAGTTATTTACATGCACAGGACCTCAGTTTTCCCATCTGTAAAATGGGGATAATGCTTTTCCTAGGTCAGCTGGTTATTATTATTTCTTTGCATTACAGTAGGTTTTGGAGTCTCCAGATGAGATCAGGGATCCATTGTGCTAAACCCTGCACACACACACAAAGGCCAATTCTACATTAAATCCAGAAGGTGGGGTTAAGATATGCAACTCCAACTACATAAATAACATAACTGGAGTCAGCATACTTTAAACTGAGCTTGGTGCCGTCTTCACCATGGGAGGTTGATGGAGCAAATGCTCCCATCGACTTCCCTTACTCCTCGCAACTGCAAGGAGTAATGGTGCTGACCGGAGGCACCCTCAGTATTTGATTTAGTGGGTCTTAACTAGACCCACTAAACTGAATGCCAGAAGATCGATCTCCAACATTCAAGTATAGCCGTGGCCACAGTGACACACAGCCACTGACAATAGGGGGAAAGAGGAAACAGAAGCACAGAGGAATCAGTGACATGCCTGAATTCACAGATTAAGTTAGTGGGAAGGCTGAGAGTAAAACCCAAATCACTCAAATCTAATCATTCCTATATTTCTTATATAGCATTTGTCATCACACCTGAAAGTGCCTCCCAATCTGCAGTGTATTGAGCCTCACCATTCCTCTGTGAGATATGGTAGTGCTATGTCCCCACTGCATACATGGGGAAAGCCCAGGATCACATAGGATGACTATGGCAGAGC